GAAAAAAAGTATCTGTTGACGTTCGGGCACCTGCCGGAAACAGATTTTATTGACGTTAACATATAGAAAAAGGGCTCACCTATAGATTTAACAAGAACCGAAAAAAAACCCAGTAGAAATGATAACTTCTTTGTTGTTAAAGGTAAACATTAAAACTGCATATCCTCATACATATATATTTACACGTAGGAATATGCATTTCAAATCATCAACAGTGCTAGAGAACACTTGAACTACCCGTCTAGGCTCAGTAATGCTGCACAATGTGAATGTGGTTGAATAAAGCGGTACAGTGCAAGTTTTAAAGTTTATATTTTAAATGATATACTTACTTTAGGTTTTAATCTGTACATCTTATCTGTTTCCCTATTATACACTTATTAAAGTTTTCATTTGTATCTGTTGTTAAATATTAGAGACGAATACAATTCCATGTGCGCGTATACTCTTTTGAACACATGTGTGCAGTTTTCATATGCTAGTACATGTATGCAAATAGGATCGTATCCTGAAACAAATGCCACTTATCTTTTCGAATTATGTCCATATTTTGTCATAAAAATGTTCTAAGAGCATTTGCAATATTGGATATATCGAACTAAAATTGCTTATGGAATATTAAACATATTTTCTGTATCTGGTAGCGCGACAGGACGACGTCGATATATGCAAACGTATGTCAGTGTAACGATGTTAGGCGTGTTAATGGCGGTACGGGACGCTCACTTAGAGGTAAAGGTTGACGCCGCTAAGATTAACTGTCGGCTAATATATTTACTACAGTACCACAGCCAATTAGATACATTTAACGTCCATTTACTAAAGTACTGTCTGCGTTTTAATTCACTTTAAAGCATCGTTTACATATTTCTGCCACCGCGGTATTCCTAGACGAGACTTTGAGACGAGACTCCAGACAATAACGCATAAAGTAGATTCATGCTATTAACTAAATCAGATTATTTAAAATAATAATGTGTTTACAACACATCTATCTGTGATCTGTCCTCGCACGTGTCTAATACTTCAAACACGTATGAACTTTAACGTACAGCATAGTTATCTGTGTAAACGAACATTTCCTCTCTTTCCATTCGCCAGTTGGTTCTTTTCGAAATATCTACCGGAACTCTCTTTCCAGGGATTAGGAGTCCCTCCAATTTAATATATTGCCATTCAAGTAAATTTTAAGGCATTAAAAGGAATTCCGTCCTTAATACGACTAACCTGAAATGTATTGACGTGTATCTATTGGGAGAGGGGGAGGTCTCACTTTCCTCAAAGGACACAATTCCCATGTAAACATGATTTTTCTTCTTATAGGTCAATCACAACTAACCCTTAAAGAAACTCTCAATTTATTTCGAATTCTGAAGAACATTTGTCACGACCTTTGCTTTAAATTCAGGAAATAACACTTCTTGATATATAGGGACCTTTAGCTCTGATGTGGGTTTTAGACACTAATTAGACAAACGATCCCACTCCAGAAAGGGGTAAAAAGAAGCAAAATAAACGAATGCAATTCTGTAGACTACTTTGGCGAAAGACAGATCTTGCCTAAGATGCGATTTGTCAAAGTCTAATTGCCTAACACTACAAAAGTTGAAAGTGGTTTCCTTCAAATGCGTAACGAATACAAATCAGAAGACGTTTAGGATTGAGACTAAAGACGAAGGGGAGACAGCGCAGAGGGATAATCCTAGACTTTAAACAGAAATTCTAGATTCATTAGAGAAACAACGGGGAAAAAATACATATAGATATCTAGTTTTTCCTTTTTCAAGGTCATTGCATACAAGCCTTATTTTAGCTGAGTTATTTAATGAAATTCTTTTAAACATCCTTAGTATCTTGCTTTGATTCATTAGTAACAGATTATTCCGTCTTTGCGTATTGCAGAGTTATCTTCTCTTGGGAGCAGGTATTGATTGGTATGTCATTTGTTTGTGTGAAACAATTTCGTCGTTTTTTCAAAAATTGATGACGTTACTCTCACAAACCAATGACGTAACAATCAATACCTGCTTACAAGAGAAGATAACTCTAGAATAGGCAAAGACGGAATATAATATGTAATGTAAATTGTACATGTGACATACATTATAAGCTTGAATGTTGATTGATCATTACTTGAGAGAGGAGAAATTTTAAAGAGGTATAAGAATGACTAATTGAAAAAGCCATCATCATCTGGAATTATCCGTGTACAAAACTCCCTATCCGATTCTTCAGCCTAGTTTATTTACCTTTAATAACTGTAAATATAGGTGTATCGCCGGGTTAATTAAGCATTAGGCGCGTTGCCCAGGCTAGTTACCAATATCACTACGTCAGCGCCATCTCCGCCTGTGAATTCGACACCTCTACACAGTTTAAGGTTAAGAAAGCCATATTTGTTTATGGCAGACGGCGTTCAGACTGGTTCACGTCCCCCGGGTAAACAAATTTTCAACATTTCAGTTAGCATCCCAAGGTCATGCTAATTAATTAAGAATCATTTAGTTTTTAACTCTTTTTATTTTAATCTTAATATTTGCAATCTTACTACCAACGATTTGTCTCCTGGTGAGAACTCCGCGATTACCCTTTCCATTTGTTGGATTAAATTCTGTGAAATCCATTCAGTCTTTAATGTGATTTTATGGCGAGCAACTCAAGTTAATAGTTGGCTTCGGGGTTTTGTTTCATTGGATAAATTAAATAAAACGTCCTGTCTACAGGATCTTGAAATCTAAGATATCGAGTCCAGCTTAGTCCACTGTCCACTGAGTACGGCCACCTGGATGTGGTTTAGTAAGTGTTAATGTAGCGAGCTTGACACTTGGTATTGTCATCCTTTAAAGAGGTACAAGGATGTGCAAGACGAGTAGTTAACTGCACTTCTGTACATCTGCAATTAAATGCTTTTAAATTTCTCCTTTTAATATCTCCACAATATTTTGCACGAAATCTGGACGTTCGATTTGCGAAATCTATGTCTGACAGGAGGCGATACCTCGTTATTTGTTATAGATACACGAAGTTGAGTCTTGTCTGCTGTTGAGTGTTAATGTACTGAATCCAGTATTATCTACTCTTGAGTGTACATACTAAATCTAATGTTGTCTACTGTTGAGTGTACATGCACATGTTCTATATCTAGTATTGTCTACTGCTGGTTGTACAAGCACACATACATGTACATGCAATAAATCGAGCATTGTCTACTGTTGAGTGAACATTTACTAAATCAGGTATTGACTACTGTTGAGCGTACATGTATTTAAACGATTGTTTTCTACTTCATTATAAGCTTACTAAATCGAGTATGATGAACTTCTGAGTATATGTGTACTAAATCGGGTTGTCTTCTGTTGAGTGTACATGTACTAAATCGGGTTTTGTCTATTGTTGAGTGTACATGTGCTAAATGAAGTTTTGTCTAATATTGCTGTGCACTAAATCTGCTACTGTACCGTCTACAGTTTGTGGTACATAAATTGAATAAAAGAAATTGTCTCTTTTTGGTGTACACGTACAGTACTTAATCGAATCTTGTCTACTTTTGAGTGAACATACTCTAAATCTATATTGTATAAGTTGAGGATACATACCTCAATTGATTATTGTCTACTGTTGTGTGTTCATCATAAATTGGCGTCGTATTACTCGTAACAGAAGCTTTTTAACAGCGTCGTATTACTCGTAACAGACCCTTTTTAACAGTGTCGTATTACTCGTAACAGACCCTTTTTAACAGTGTCGTATTACTCGTAACAGAACTTTTTTAACAGCGTCGTATTACTCGTAACAGACCCTTTTTAACTGTGTCGTATTACTCGTAACAGAACTTTTTTAACAGTGTCGTATTACTCGTAACAGACCTTTTTTAACAGCGTCGTATTACTCGTAACAGACCTTTTTTAATCGCGTCGTATTACTCGTAACAGAACTTTTTTAACCGCTTAAATATTTCATCGATATCTTTTGCACCTGAAAACTTTGTTACACGTGACTGTGTTTAATACACTTAGCTTCTGTTCTCCTCTTGGCTCCGCGTCCTACCACAGCGACACTATAAGTATGACCCCTGGCGTTCTTATGCTAATCACTCGAAGTAGTAGATAATTCAGATTACCTTTATTTGCTTCGACAAAACATATGTCCACACAAACAGTCACCGAGCGAATACTGCCTGTATGACAATTGGTAAGAAGGTGCCATTACGTTTATCTTCGACCGGTATCCCTCCGCCACTAGGCCGTTGGTACCCAAGCAAAATAAAAGTACTTAGTAATATATGGTGGCTTGTATATAAAATTTCGTCTTTTCGCTTTGTCGCCCGCGAAAAGACGCCAAGCGACAAAACGGAAAAAAACCCGAAAAGACGAAAACCGGCCTAAGCTAAAAGACAAAAAGACGAAAAAGCATCAAAGATATAAAAACGAAACAACGGCAAAAGGAGGGAGAAACGACGCAACTTTATTCGACGCTTTGGCGTTATATGAACTTCGGTTCGGATTTTTTTCGCTATTTTACTTTGGCCGGTTTTCATCTTTTCATTCTTTCGCTTTCGCGTTATTTTTTCTATTTCGCTTCGATGGATTTTTTCGTCTTTACGTTATTTTATTTTGTCGATTGGCTTTTTTTTGCGGACAACAAAGCCGAAAGACGAACTATCATAAGCCACAATAGTTATAACATCCCTTTCATCTCCCCGGAACGTGGTCAAACCATTTATAGATTGATCGAATGCAATACACAATGGATGACAGTAGTACAAAAATATAGCACGGAATAACCGACTATATGCTCTACCTACTCAGGCCTTCATGAGTGTTTTATATTTCCATGTTATCGCACTTTTATTAGACAGCTGTAAGTCATTTTGGCATACTGTATCAGCTACCACATTTTAACAGTTCAATCACCTGTGTGGGTTATGCTCATCTGTAACAATGGAGACATCAAAATAATCGTCTAATGCTATTGACGATGCATCTTGTCCTCCATTACAGCATGGCGTCTGGCGTTCAAGGCTGTTCACAACAAACCGAGTGGGCTGTACCAGGATCTCTTCTCTCTGTACGAGGCGGACGATACCCTGCACGCTGACGACCTAACCGCAGTCAAGGATTTCAGCAAGACCAGCAAGCCTTATAAATCCCTCCTATTAGATGATTGGACAAAGAAGAAGATCAGCGTCCAGGCGGTGAGTAGGCATATATTATTAATACAGCATTCTCCTATAATCCCGAAAGTACACACGAATGCAACAACTTCTTCTCCAAAAGTATTCAATATACAATTTGTTCGACTGAGATAACTCATATGATTGTAAGAAATTCACAAGATATAGATACATTATGAAATGTTTCTTGTTACACAACCAATAAGTGTTTCTATGTGACGTTTCGATGACTACATTGTAGTACGGTATGTACGCTGTCACCTTCATCAGACAAATGACCACAGAAGCGTATGCACACAAAAGTGTCAAATGTGTACGAGTTGTCCAAAACTGACTGGATCAGAAAGGAAGCAGTCGGAGTCTCAGATAGAAAAATAATTTGATTGACAGCGATAACTCCAAAGAAAGCAATCTGTTCAAGCGGCAGACACGCAGCAGTGGGCAAGTTCTAAATCGAGATGAGGGGCTCATAGACTCTCGCACATCTATGACCAAGTATTAGACAAAGCGTAGATGAATCGAGTAATTTCGGTACATGCATAACAACTATTGTACATACGCTTACAGCTTTTCAGAATCGACATCGATTTATGGACAACTCGTACACAATTTTCACACTTGTGTGCATACGCTTCACTGGTCATTTGTCTGATGAAGATGACAGCGTACATACCGTACTAGTCATCAAAACGTCACATAGAAACACTGATTGGTTGTGTAACAAGAAACTTTTCATAATCCGTACTTACAAAACGTACCATATCGAGGAAAATGTTAAGAAAGATATAGATAAAATCAGAGTCACAACCACAGAACCTTGGTTGAACTCTCGGGATTAAATAATGTTGTATATATTTTACGCAAGGTATCATGGGATCCTCGTCCTGTCGTCAATGAACAAACCACTGACTTATGTGCAGGTGCACGATGAACTCGATTATGCCTGCTAGGGGAATTATATTTTCGTCTTTTTTAGTTGTTTCTGCAATAACGAGATAAGACAGAATTATAGCGCAACTCCACAAATAAATGATTAAATTGATTCTAAAATAAATAAAAATAAAAAATAAAAAGGAACGTTGAGCTGTTTTGGGAAAACTGCCGATTCCAATAAACCTTCCCGTCTGTTCCACAATACATAGAGTTCCCAAGATGAATCAAGACGTAATTTCTAATTTGAACAATTCAAAAAATGTCGTATTTCGTTGGATAAAACTAGCATATAGAGTCATGCAATTCATTTAAGAATTGAGATACATGTTCTTAACTTTATAATGTTATGCAACGCAAACCTGTTAAATATTTTCCGTCTTTAAGAATACATTAAAACGTTACAGTTCAACTCGGAATATGGTTATGCGTACACTACCTAAATGTTGACAAGATGCATATAAATCCTAATATTTATGTACAAAACAACAAATCAAATTCTGTTTTATATTTCTGTGTATTTTGTTTTGTTTCATGAAATATTTTAACAAAATGTTTACCAGGAAGTTGAGAAAAAAACTGTTTTTGCATGGCAATAACTTGTTTTCTATAGTTGTCATTCCAAGTAAGTGATAAACCTCTACCGATAACAATTCCGGAATTTCCGTCACTAATTTTAATTTGAGTGCATGCCATGTTTGGTCCCCGATTATTCCAACACTATGACAGAACGACTGAACAGCTCACAGCTGAAACACGTTCACGTGCATTGCGTATTGTTGTTATTGTTTTGCAACACCATTGTTGGCTTGTTGGTGTGTCTGAGGGTTTGTCAAAAGAAACATAAATTGAGTGAAATAGTCATACAAAATACGCACATATTTGAAATTTGTTTGTAGACACTCATACAAAGTAACCATTTTATTGTACCACATGATCATTTCGCCAATTTAGGACTAATCAGTGGTATGACAGTTCACGTCTAATAAAATATACTGCGCCAGGTGAACAAAATCTGTTCCTAACAAAACTCGACCAATGATTACTGCCTTTGATGACAAGTGTCATCCTTACAGTTTAAACTTTAAAATTATGATAAATACTGCCTACTATTCATTTCGGAATCTTTTATTGTTCAAATCGATCGTAGATACACGTGAAAAAGGAATTTGGCAACAGGCAAGGACTTATAACGCCCCCTTCTAGATTTGACCTTTAACAATGTGTTTGTGAGCGAGAACTATGACAAAACCATATACATGTACCCTGTTAGAAAATCATGCATTGACGGTTAAAGAAAGACAGACCTCCAGAAAGACAAAGGCGAGCGATATGATGACGTTACCATAGACAGAGAGGCAGGAAATAGACGATACATACTTAAAAAGGACAATAACGGGGAATAGCGAGAAATCTGGAAGCAAAAGGCGGGGAAATACGACGAATTTTAAATTAAAAGACTTCCTTCTTAAAGTCGTCGGTAGAAAATAAAGCGACGTACCACGTCCACTGATAAAGAGTTATTCTCTCTTAGTACCAACATATTTAACAACAATGGGCAGGTGTTGAAACTGAGAAAGACATAAGCAAAAACTACTAGCTATTGTACAAACTGTTTTACACGCTAGAATTAAAACAAAAGCAATACCGTTAAATGGTGAAAGCCTTGGCAGTGCCTTCATCGATATTTACAAAGTAACGTCGACCTCCATTCATTTTTTGTCCTTAAGATTTGGTGGTTCTGTCACCAAAACAAATGTAAACCCCCGTCAGCCCAATACAAATGTAAGTTTGTGGTCGTAATCCTCGACTGTAAAGAGATATACAGCCAATCGGGGTGTAGAGATAATTAGTGTGGTGCTATATCTTTGTGCTAGAGTGTCCGACGCCACCGACCACCTATATATAAGGCGTTACACAGTCTTTATTCCTCTGTAAACACTGCAGATACGTAAATCTAAATTTACTTTATTCATTGATTTCGTGTTACTACCGACGTTCCGTCAGTTAAATCGTAACACCGAAACACTTTAACTGCTGTTCAGCGTAAACCTCTATCAGACCAATCGAAACCAAAGCTATGTAGCTCTAGCTTCTTTGAGACACAGTACGTACTTTAACATTTATTCGCATCGGAAACGTTTCACCGTTATTTGACAGTGTTATTACATGTCCCCTTCCGGATTATCGAAATGTCGCATCAGAATCAAAGCTACATAATTATATCAGTGATCAAATGTCACCATTGTCTTTTTAACAGTATACACATGTAGAAAATGTGGACATTGTCACTTCGCCTGCGTGTTCTAACGTCTGCCTCTTTGTACTTTGGATGTGATTTCGGAAGGGCTTACAGGCCCGCATATTTACAGTCACACCAATGATATACGCCGCTAGAATCCGACGTATTTAATTAACAGAAACAGGGCAGTTGGTTTGTAATCCCCTTCTCCATGTAGATGTTTAATCCAAATACCATTTTTCCCGGAAACTAATCGAAGTCCGGCTGTGTGTAACGTCAAACAATCGTCCTGCTTTATATAAAAGATCGAGTGTATTTGCGTCTAAAATCCCCTCAACACGAATGGAACATGACCAGATGACCACAACCTAGAGTGTCTAGTTCCCCCGGGCAATACAAGTAAAAGAAATCAGTTTTTGCTCTAAAAATTGGTTATAATTAGTCTTTTTGTCCTGTTCCAGTTATGCAGTGTTGATATATCGCCCCTGCGGTAATAAGTAGTTTCCGTTTTAGGAAGGAGAAACAAAGGATGCGATAATCAATACAAAGCGCTAATGATAGCCATCGAGTAGGTGTACCAGTCATACACGTATATGTTACCAATCCTAGAATTCTCCTTTCAAAGTCCGCTATAAGGCGTACTGCTGTAGTTGGTGTGTTTGTAAACTGCTGTGACAGCTTGTAATTCAACACGCACTCGCATCATTCTTTGAATTTACAAAAGGAGGTACACAATGTCCTTAGTTAGGCGGAAGTTGAAGGAAAGGAAGTCGGCATTAGGTGACATATGTGTATTGCTATTATTACACTTCTATTGTTCCTCAAAACATTTAGGTTTTTTGTGCACATTGGCTTTTCGACAAGAAGTATAGAACAAGTGTTTCCTCTTCGGTGTTTTGGTCGTTCTCAAGAAAAGTTTGGACATCAGCTTCGTGTGACTCAATATTTCATAATTGCCGATTTTCAGTTTTTCACGTGAATGTTTGTATTTCCTTCTAAAATGGCTCACATATTGATTTATATAAAATAAGCACTTTTCATTACTTTCACACGGTATTAAACAATGATTATAATAAATAGGAGCGATAAACATTGATGTATCGGTATGCCCAATTTACAAAATTTCTCCAATGCGCTTTTCAGTATCTCTTTAAATCATTCTGGTGCTGAAACAGATTAGGCTTATAAACATACACTATACAACTAGCATGCAGCCTATCGGTCTCCTGGGTATATTGGGTGACATTATAATTAGAAGACGTCTACCATAAAGAGGCTAAATGCAAAACATAAACAGTCGAGTTTTGAAATCTGTCTTCGTTTTTTAATGAGTTTTCCCTGAGGTCTAAATACAAGATTTGTTAAAATAACACAGGGAGTATGTGTCCCATCAAAGTAATCTTGATAAGCTCCAGTAAATAAAAGGGGGCTATTCCAGTTAGTGCTTTTTACGTTTGCGTGTGTTTCATTTTTTTGTATTGTGTCTACATCGTACGGGTCATTTGTGCAACGAATATATATCACTGATGTGATGAGCTCTTTATTTGAGCACATATTTATGGCGACATATTTCTGGAAGAAACAGACCTGAATCCTCATCAGCAGCTCTTGGCGTTGCTTGTGTTTTCGGAGGTAAGTGTTTATTCAGGACTGTTTCTTCTATTTCCAGATCAGATGTCGGCATATTTGAGTGAGGATGTCGACATAAATAACTGACAATCTGGTGTCACATCCGAGCACAAACACGATATAAAGCCTAGTTTCCGGCTTCCTAGATAATCATTTTAGATTAATTATGTCGACAGGTAAATAAAAAAAAAGCCGACATAGGCTTCAGTTTATTTCCACA